TCATTTCCTGATGATTTTCTGTGTGAACGTTACCGTTTTTCAGCACAATCTATAATTTATTTGAATAACATCCTCAGGCCTAATATTGCTTACATTTATTCTCACGGTTCCCAGGCGTGATTGGCTGTACAGATGGCACTCACATTCCAATCATTGCTCCTTCAGTAAATTAAGGAGACTATGTGAACAGGAAGTCTTTCCACAGCATTAATGTACAGGTACATAGATTAAGGAACTCACCTCCCAGCTCATTGTTCCTTCAGTGGGCTGGTTTCAGTCATTATGCAAATGTACTGTTTATAAGATTGGGGAAAACTGCAGTCAGCTGAGACTGAAGAAGTCACTTGGATGAGTGACGAAACGTTTCTCCCACAAAACGCTACGTCCAGATGAACAGAATCAACTTGGAGAATGTGTAGTTGTGTAGAAACTGGGTGGGGCCCTCTGTGTGTGAAAGCTGCTCCAGCTCGGTGTTTCTCCTCCTCAGCTCAGAGATCTACTGCTGCAGTTTCTCCTGAAGCTCATTAACATGACTCACTTCAGGCTTCTGGCGAGCTCTGATCTGCTGTTTCACCTCAGTGAAGATCTCCTCACTGTCTCTCACAGCTTTATCACCAAACTGATTGAAGGTCTCCACCTCCTGCTCAAGCACCTTCAGGTGTTTCTCGCAGTCCTGGACTCTCTGCTGGATTATATCTCGACTCTCTTTGAGCACTCTCTGCTTCTCAGTCATTGCTGCACCAGTCAGTACTGTGTCGTGTCCTTTATGTTCATCCATTGTGCAAAGAACGCAGACACATATTCAATCAGTACTGCAGAAGAGTTTCCTCACTTTATTGTGGTGAGGGTAAAAGAACTGCTGAAGCTTCTGAGAGGGGTTCACCAGCTTGTGTTTTTCAAAGCGGGGGATTAATAGTGAGGCTCACAGTAAGAGACCAGACACTGCAGACAGGACTTGAAAGCGTTTAGTTTTATCCCAGTGCAGAAATCACAGCTCACATGTCCAGGTCCAGCATAGCAGAGATCAGCTTAGCACGTCAGAGTCCAGTCTTCTTTGTTTCTTTAACCAAATTTGTTATCACAGTGTTTCTTACCAGAGCAGGCCTGATCGTTAAGGTCTGTCTGCACTGAGGACAGCTGTGGGTTTCCTTCTGATCCTCTTCTAGCTTTTAACCCTCTCAAGGCAGACGTTGCCGATTTGCAACAGTTAAAAACTAACAACCTGATTACCCCACATACGTATTTTATGAGGTTTTTTTTACTCAGAAGTACCACTGCAGGACCTGGTTGTGCATTAGCAACAAAAAACTTAATTTGAGCCTGAGAGGGTTAATACTAGAGGTGGCACGATACCACTTTTTATGTCCGATACCGATATCATAAATTTGGATATCTGCCGATACCGATATGAATCTGATATAGTGTATTTTTTAATCAATAAAACAGTTTTTTAAATATCTTGCTGCTTTTTGTATAAGTTCATACTCAAGTAAAAAACAAACAAACACTAAACCTATTCTGTTATACCTGCATGCAAAAAATACACTGCACCCAAAATATTTCATAGTTCAGCAATACTGATCAATCTAATAAACTTAAACCTACTCCATCCTCCCTATTCTGGTATTTACTTAGCAGAAATATTAAGCAACCTAACTAATAGGGTTCTAAAGCTCCCAGCAAAAAAAAAAAAATTAGGGAACCACCCACCCTCCACCTCATGATGCTTAATTGACGTAATCAACTATAATTTGATGCAGTGTGGGGGAAAAAATACACAGAAATCAGTTATTTTTCAAGAATAATTAAATGGATTCAACATCGTTCTTCAACAAGATTGTAGACTGAACAAATGGTATCTTTCCAAAGGAAAAAGTACTATAGCTTACTAGGGTATATTAGACTTAATAGTTACTATATACAGTAATGGACTTCTATACATTTTACATCAGATTAAAACTTTGGGTGTAAGATTCAGATAATTATTTATTAAAAGCTAGACATTTTAAATGAGAATAAGAAAGAAAAGTATGTCTTTGTGCCCCCTTTTCCCTGTTCATGCCCTATTGGATAAGTGGAAGAGAAAGGATGGATGGATCAATCCAGTTTTTTGCTGCTCTATTTTGCCCTTTTTTGTCACACAGGTGTAGCAGAAAGCAGCGGTAGGCTATTTACACAATGAACACTGCTATATACTGAACATATGTGCACACAGCACTGAATTGGATAAGCAGAGGGAAATGGATGGATAGACTGACAGACAAGTTCATGTGTGCAGTATTTAGGATTATTTCATACAACATTTCATGCAACAGAGCCACCTGCTGTTCAAACTAATGAAGTGGCAGAAGAAAGTAAATATTATTCCATCATTTCTAATGATTCTCCAGTTATCTTGGTGTTTAATCCTGATCTAACTAGAAGTATAGATTCACTATGGAAATAACTCCAGGATGTGAATATATCCCTATGTTCTGGGCTCTACATCTGGCAAACTGCAGGTGCAGATAAACTAATATGTATAAAATAGTCATCTTGTGTTCACCGATTTATTCCAGTAACCTTCAAGACTGTTGTTTCATCTGGTAATCATTCAGGCTTCAGCTGGTGCACCTTATTGAGGTACACACTTCTTGTGAGACACAGCCTTTGTCACAGCCCAAGAAGAGGTTGCAACAAAAACAACATTTATTTGCAAAGATATAATTACATTAAAACAACATGTGTTTAAAAGCAAGTCAGCAGTGTTATGTATGTATGGATCAGTGTCAGTGTATGAGCATGCAGTAGCTAAACAGTAGTCTGGGAGCCCAAGTAAGGACTACAGGAAAGAGGGAGCCCAAAGAACACCCAACTTGTGCAGCTAATTTGCATCCAATTAGCTCCTGTGAGACAAAATATAACACAGACTGACATATAGTGCCCATATGGCCTTGAGAGTCTCCAGTCCTTTTACTTATCTCTGTTTCCATCATATTCCACAAAAGCCTGCAGAGCTTTTACATTTGTAGAAACTCACTGATTAGCATTGAAAAGACATTTAAACTTAAGGAGTGAAAAAAATGACACTGAAGTTGGATGCACTGGCTCCCAGAACATCTGATGTGGTGTGCACATTTAAACATGGAATGCAGAAGGCCAATACAAAAGGTTTAATATGACAATGCTTTACTAGATTAAACAGACGTATTAATGGATGCTTGGATGGATGAATGATGGATATTTTTTTTGTTATATTCAAATAAGAACAAAAAATTTTAAGTAAAGACCAAATGAAATCACAGTGCAATCGTGCTACTGAAAGGATTCAATAAATTAGCCCAGTATCAACTTACATCACTTTGCATCTACCTTCTTAGCATTTCCATTTCTTTAACTTTAACAATAAAGGGTTCTGGTGTAACACAACCAACAAATTGAAAGGATATTGTGTATAGTTGTGTAGTAAAGTTGCAAAAGGGTTTAGAGGTCTTCAGTGTCTTCTTGTAAATCTTTATGGATTTCAACAGTTGTATAATCAGAGTATAAACCAAATCCAGGACAGAGTGGTCGAGTGAATCTGGTCTTGACTTTGTAGAGGAGAGTCATGTTTTGAGATGTTTCAGAGATGCTGTAGAAGGACAGAATACCTGCATCAAAATCCAGGTAAATTCCAATTTTGGATGAACAAGGACCCGAGACTGGAGTTCTGATGTTGTTATGTCTGAATTCATAACCACCACAGAAACACTGTAACACCCACGACTTGTCATCATTTCCAAAAGCACTCTCTC